CACTCTTAGTTACTATATGCCTACTTTTAACTTAACTATAATATAACAGCTTTAATTAACTTACTAATAAATAAAAATATTATTAACTTAGATTAATTTATAGTGTTTTTATAAGTAACTTATAAAAACTTAAATAAAAAGTTAACAGCCCTAAGTTACTTAAACACTTTATAATAAAAAAAAAAGCTTTACTTTACACTTTACTAAGTTCTACTAACTTACATTTAATATAGGCCTAAATAAAATAGGTCTAATTATAGCCCTATATAACTCCCTCTTAACTAAACTATAACACACTATAGTAGAAAAACCCCTCCTAAACAACCTTAACACATATGTAAACCTAATTGCTACCTATAATAATAACATAAGGTTCCTTCTTGTATAAGCTCTAATACGCCCCTAAACTAGCGTAGTTATAAATAAAAACTCTAATATAATAAAAATTAATTTAAATTATGCTCTAGTTAGTTCTAAAAAGTGTAAAAATTATAAAAAAAAAAGTTAATACTTTAAGTATAGTAAGCATAGTTATATTTTTTAAAACTACTTTATTTCTCTTTTTTAAGTTTACATAAGTAGTGCTACTAGTACTTATTAAAAATCTTTACTATTTTAATCTTATTTTTATAAGGGCTTTAACTTATATTTAAGCCCTAATTTCTCTTACTACTCTTAACATAGCTGCAGCTATAGTAGTAGAAGCCTGTAAAAAGGCTTGTTCTAGGGCTAAGTTGCCCCTTAGAACTAATTTAACACTAGATCTCTGCTAACTTATAGGCTAAGTCCCCTACTAATAACTAAAAGTACTAAGTTAATATTTTTATATATTTATAATAAAGAACTATATTAGCCTTAATATAAGCTTTTATTAACTTAGAAGTAAATAGCATAAGTTATATTAATAAAGAACTAGCATATAAACTAAATCTTTAATTAACACTACTTACTTAAATAATTTACTTAACTAAATTTAATAAAAAACAACTTAAAAAAGGTTTTATTTTTTATACTATAACTATTATAATTACCTACTAACACTATAAGGAGTAAATTAAGCTTTATGTAATAAACATAAAATGTTATAACTTAATTCTAGAACAACTATAGCTGTATTAGCATAAAGTTGCCTTTAATTACTAAAAGTAAGTTCTAAACTTTAACTTTTTCTAATGCTAAGATATATGCTTACACTTACACCTAAATAACACCTAAGTAGCACTTAATATAAAAAGTTTTTAGACCTACTTTTTAATAACCTAGAGAAGAACTACTTAAGTAAGGCTAATAAGCTAGGCCTTTTACTAAGATAAGCTATATAAAATAATTTAATAACTACTTAAACTTAAAAAAAAAAGCTTTTATAAAATCTTTACTTACTTAATTTAGACATAAACTAGAACTTAAACAGTAGATAGACATCTGCTATATAGAACCTGCCTTATTTATAACTCTAGCTTAATAACTAGATTATAAAATCTACATAGTTATAATTTTTAATATAGACTAAGCTTTAGCTCTTTAAAAATATACTAACTTAAAGATAATAGTCTCTTAAGACTACTATAACTTATTATATGTTTTTTTAAGACAAGTTTAATAAGCTTTTAATATAATATTTATATAATTACTAAATAACTTTTAAGCCTAGTAAATAACCTAGTTATAGGCTACTATATAAAATGTTACTAAACAAATTAAAAGTGCTTTAAAAATACTTTAATAAGAACCTAGAAAAAAGGTTTATTTAAGCTAGCTTTTTACTAGTAGTATTACTTATACTATTTATAAAAAAACTTAAAAGTAAGCTTTAATTTTATGTTAACTACTAAAAACTAAACACTATTACTATTAAAAACTAATACTTAATTTCTTTTTTATAGAAAACTCTAAGCTAACTAAGTAAAGTAAAGTATTTTATAAAGTTAAATATTATTACTACCTTTAACAAGCTAAGAATAGTAAAGAGTAATAAGTAGCTAATAGTATTTTAGACCTAATATAGACTATTTAAGTACCTAGTAATGCCCTTTAGCTTAGCTAACACGCCTAGTACTTTTTAACATTTTATAAATAACTTACTTTAACCCTACCTAAACATGTTCTATACTGTGTATATTAATAATATTTTAATCTATAGTAATAGCCTTTTAAAGCATAAATAGTATGTACGCCTAGTGCTAAAAGCTATAGAAGAAGTAGGTCTGTAACTTAATATAAATAAATATAAGTTCTACTAATTAAAGGTTATATATTTAGAATATATAATCTTTATAAATAGCATCTAAATAAACCCTATTAAGGTTTAGACTATGCTAGATTAGTAATACCTAAAAGATATAAAAGATATTTAAGCTTTTATAAAATTTACTAACTTTTACTAATAATTTATTAATAACTTTTTATAGTAAGTAAGCCTTATAATTATACTTACTAAAAAAGAAATTTAATTTAACTTTAACTTAAATTACTAATAGTCCTTTAACTAGCTAAAGAAAGCCTTTACTAAAGCTTTAATACTTTACTACTTTAACTTTAAACTACTAATACTTATAAAAGCTAATGCTTTAGACTATGTAGTAGCAGGAGTTCTTTTTTAGACTAAGCTAAATAGAACTATTAGGCCTATTACATACTTCTTAAAAAGAATAAGTTCTATAAAAAGTAATTATAAGATTTATAATAAAAAATTACTTACTATAGTACACTACTTTAAATAATAGCAACCTAAACTAAAAGGTGTAGCGCATCTAATATAAGTTCTATTTAACTATAAGAACTTATAGTACTTTATAACTATAAAATAACTTAGCTACTAATAAGCTTATTAGTTTAAATACTTATTCTATTTTAATTTTAAAATTACTTATTATTTTAGTTAAAATAAAGGGAAACTAAATGCCTTTATAAGGTAATTTTAAAACATCTTTACTTAAAAAAAAGTGTAAAAAGCTTAATACTAAACTTTACTTTAACTTAAGCTATTTTTAGACCTTAACTTAAATAAAATAAATTAGATAATTAATTAAATTATTACTAATAAGTATTTAAATAATAAGTTTATCTAAGAAACTTTAAACCTACTTTAAAACAGCACTAGTTAGTTAAAGAAAGTAACACTAGCTAACTATAAAAACTAAAATAGTAAGCTATATTACTATAACTAACTTATAATTTTTAATTTTAATAAACTAAGAATTAAACTACTTTAAATTATATATAACTTACCTATTAAAAGACACTTAGGCAGAGAAAAGACTCTTAACCTACTATAAAGAGAGTACTACTAGCCCTGCATGTTCTATACTGTACACTAATACATATTATGTTGCTATACTTGCTGTAAAGTAAAAGCCTTTTAAAAAAAGTATAATAGCCTACTTAAACTACTTCTAATCTTTAAATAAGCTTAGAAAAATATATTAATTAATTTTATTATAAACTTACTTTTATTTAAAGAGTATATAAATATTATAGTAGTTATTAATTACTTAACTAAGTATTAACACTTAATACTATGTTTCTTTATAACTACTTTTAATATAGCCTAGTTATTTTACTAATACATATAAGTTTACTATAGCCTACCTAACATAATTATATTAGACAGAGGTACATAGTTTGTCTTAGCCTTCTAGGACAAACTCTATAAATAGCTTTAAATTATCCTTTATCTATCTACAGCTTTTTACCTAGAGACTAACAGCTAGACTAAAAATATAAACACTATAATAAAATAAGTCTTATAAGTGTATATAAACTACTAGTAAGATAACTAAGTAAAATAGTTAGCTATAGCATAGTTTAAAGCTAATAACATAACATCTAAATTAACATAAGTATCTTTATTCTTAGTAAACTATAGATACTACTTTTAAATAGAATTTAAATTACTTTTAAATACTCTCTAACTAACTTATTAATTTATATAAGTAATAGATGTAAATAGACTTATTAATAAAATCTAAAATATATTTAAATATGTTTATAAAAAGCTTATATAGGCTTAAGCTTTTTAATAAAAGTACATAAACTAATTCTAAACCTTTACCCCTGCGTATGCAGCTAGTAAGAAGGTCTAGCTAAACACTAGAAATATCTAAATAAACTAATAATTAAAAAAACTTAATTAGAAGAACTTTAGCCCCTTTATAGTAGCCTATATAGTCTTATTATATGCTTACTAATTAATCCTACCTAATAGCATAAAGATACACCCTGTGTTCTATGTATTATTGCTGCGCTAAGTAGCCCCTAAATCTAACTATCTACCTAAATAGCTAAACCTACTACTTAAACTTATTATTATAAATAATAAACTAAAATACATTATAAAAGATATTAAATAGATTTAGTTTAATAAAAAAAAACATATCTATAAATACTTTATAAAATAGACTAGATATAATAAACTGTTATAAGAACTTATAAAAGCTTTGTAAAAAAACTCTATAGTAACCTAATTCTACACCTAATACTTATTTAAACTAAACCTGTACTTTAATAAAGATAACTTAATGCTAGAACTACTAATGTAAAGAATTCCCTTTTTAATAAGAGGGGGAGTACTGTTATAGTATTCTCTCTAGATCCTAGACATAACTGTATTAGACGTGTACTAGAGTATTATTAGTGCACGTCTAATATAAATATAACATAACATAGATATAAACTTAAGTATAAACTGCTTTAACACTAACTAAACTTAAAATAAGCTTAATTTATACTTAAAGCGCTTAGACTTCTAAGCTAAGTATTTAATTACTAATTTCTTTTTAAACCTTTCTGTTCCTCACATAATGTCTTGTACCTACTATAATACCTCACGTAGTAATTAAACTAGACCTCTGTAAAGCTCTATAACCTTACTCGTGCACAATCGTGACACAAACCCATCATTCATCTCAGGAAGCCTAGAAACAGTGCTTCAATCTGACAGGGGGATAGGTAGACTATCTCTACTATTAGCTCTATTGTTTGCAGTTACTGTCACGGTCGGCATGCTCAAGCTACAAGCAAGAGGTGGTGTAACTCAACTAGATTAAACTAAGGAGCAGAGGAGCTGCTCTGCGAGTTTAATATACATGTGTGCCCCTGCCAAGGCGCTACTCGTAGCACTAGCGTGCTACTCGTTGCGCAAGCGAGGGAGCTGATGCCGCAGAGCATGTGACGCGGTACGCGCCGTCACAGTTACGGAGCTCTCCATGCGCTAGCCACCAACACTTCTTTAGCGTACTGCTGCCTAGCAATGCCACCTGCTGCAGCCTAGAGCTATTGGTGGCCTTAAGTCACATGATGGGTTCATCTAGTACTATATAAACCTGTAGTTGCCCTCCTTTAGCAATAGAATCCAGTTCCTCATGTCTTTAGTGCTCCACATAGCTTCACATCTATCCTATAAGCTACTACCTACCTTAGCAAAGGCAGGTAAGAAGGAAGGGTAAGACATAGAGGTTTCTTCTTAGAGAGATCTCTTATTAAAGTTAACTTAGTTGCACTAGTACTAGACAGCATATAGGCTGTTACTAGATAGCCTATAAGCCTTACTAGATTATAGTTACTTTAAGCTGCAGCTTGTAATTACACTAAGCTGCAGCTCTACTGCACAGAGATTTAGACAACATTAGACAGGCCACGCCTAATTAAGTCTAGTTGCATGTATAGCATTACTGCCTAGTGCTATTGCATATGCCTTTATGTATTCTAGTAAAGCAATGCCTTGCAGTTCTTACTAAGCCTACTAGCTTATACAACCTTCTGTGCTGTACAACCCCTATAGTAATGCTTACTAGCCTAGAAGCTTATAGCTATAGTAATGTACACTCTTATAATAAGCTTAATACTTTATTTATAAGAATGTAAAGCGCTTAATCTCTACTTTACATAGTTACACTAGAAGTTAAGCCTAATGTCTCTTAATTACACATATCTAGCACTATTGCTGTAAGGTCTAGCCACCTTGTAGTAGCAGTGCAGAGCTGCAACACTAGGTTGCTGTGTCTACCTATTATATTGCTAGCTTACATAGTTAGCATCTTGTTTTACTTATAACATTTATGTTGTTATCTATCTTCTTTAACTTCTTTAATAATTAACCTTTAACTAAAAGAACTTTTAATGTTAAATTTAAGCTTGCTACTGTAAGGCTGTCTAGCTCTGTAAGCTTACTAAGCACGTCCTGTACAAGCTAAGTACGCCTAGCGTCCTGCTATCTATGCAATAGCTCTCTGTTAACTACAGTTAACATTCTATGCCTAATATAGTATGCTAGAGAGGTGAGGAAACACGCGTACAGCTTAGGGAGCTGTCACTCACGCTTGCACCTAGCTACTAGCATAGCAATGCTCCTAGCAAATAGCAACTCTTCTTAAGCTTTTTATGTATAAATAACACTAGTAGTAGCGTTTTAAAGCACCTAGTTGCACTTCTTCTAATATAGTTTTTTCTTACTAAGGTTTTCTAGAGTTTAGTTACTAGAGATAGGTACTGCCTAGGCGTCACCTGTACAGTCACCACCGCAGGTCTGCCTATAGCTAGTACAAGCTTTGTGGCTAACTATGTACTCTTTTTTCCTACTAGGTTTTTAATAAGGCTAGTTACACTACTTTTGTACATAGAATTTAGCACTACTTATTCTTTTCTAGGTCTTAGGACAAGCCCTAAGAAGAGGGGAGGCTATGTCATAGTTATGTTACAGCTATCTAACCCCTAAGTACCCTAAGGGCTTGGCACAGGGTATATAGGCTCCTCGGCCTCCGTACCTCTGCCTCCGACCCTAAGGTTTACTCTCGTTACCCCCCTATCCTGCATTCCCTCTCTGTGACCTGTGTTTCCTGCTCGATACCTCTTACAAAAAGTGTCTAATAGCTTACTATTAAACCTCTCTAGCATAATGTCTATAAAGTTGTAATACTATTATGTATAACTATAAATTTACTTTTTACTTTTATACTTTATTATTTACTAAGTAATCTGTTACAATCCTTGCTTTGTAGAAGCACGCGGGTTAATGTTGTCCCTAGGTTAGGGCGTAGGGAGAGGGGCTAACAGTAGGATGTACAGTCCTACATAATAGCTAATAGGCTAATAGAGTAGGATAGAGTGACTAGATTGTAGTTTATCCCTGTAACAGTAGTATAGAGGCTAGGTTAAATAGTCCTGTTAGACAGAATTAGAGGTATATATATTACAAGATATATAAATAGTATTACAGGTCTTTAAAAAGCTAAAAAGCTACTTAGTCTATGTAAAAAATAAACTAAACATTAAACACACCTTTTAAAAGTCTGTTTAAGCTAGAACTATATACATGTCTAACAGCGCTAAGAACAAGTTATTTAAGTTTAGACAAGCTTACTATATAGTAAGCTTATTTAACTTGCTTAAACTTATTCTTTTTTTATAGCTTTTTTTTCTACTAGATAGTGCATTCTTCTGTAACCCTAGGCAGCTGTGCTGCCTCTACGTCTTCTAATTAGTCTGTAAACAAGCTCTGTTCTAACTAGGCTAGATTATAGAGCACTTCTAGTAGAGTTATGTTAGTCCAACTATAGACTGTAACATGCTGCCTCCTCTCTCTAGTAGTGTTTTTGCTGCTCTGCTTACATAACTGCGTTAGTAAAAGTTTATTTATAAAGTAAGTGCTTACTTACTAAAAGGTGTTTATAACATCTATCTTTTTTATACTAAATAGCTTATTAGAATTATTTGTTTTATTATTCTTACACTAACGTACCTAACGGGTTGGCCGGCTACACAGGTTGGCCAGCCACTTTTGCTAAGCCCCTACTAAAACCACCCTATTCTAGCGCAAAACAGCCTACTTTAGCCCTGTATAAAGTAATATAACATAAGATATTATTTAAAGTCTACTTCTACTACTTACTTATATGTATGTAAGTTATGCCTAGTCTAATTACACTACTTGTATTACTTTTAACTTAGCTTACTTTTTTTTAGCGCGCACTTGTGTCTTTAGCTTCTTTTTATTACTACGCGCTTTAAACTTCTTTAAAGTAGTTAAATAAGCTCTATTCTTAACTATTAAAGTTTTTTTTACCTAAATTTACTTTTTTTATATAATTTATGTTATATAACAGCTTTATTTACTACTTAAAGCTTTATAATCTTTTTTTACACTAACACTAGCTTATGCATAATAATTACTACCCTTTTTAAAACTTTCTTAAAGGCCTTTACTATAAATGTTAGTAAGCTATTTATATACCTTTAAATTTTTACTTTTATAAGTGTTAATTATAACTTAAATTTAAAAGTATTACTTAGAGTTTATAACTGCTAGAGCTTATTATTAATAAGTAGTAGTAGTAATAAAGTATATAACTAGATATTAAGGGCTATTTTAACTTATTTTAAGTTAAATAGAACTAAACTAGCGCCTTAAAACCTTTTTTAAATATTACTAAAAGTAATTACTACATTATAGGCGTGTATAAAGCATAGTAAAAACTTAAGTTTTATAATATAAGTAATCTAGTTATATATAAGATTTTTAGCTTAGCACTTATACACCTTTTTTAAAAAAGCAAAATAACTTATATTAAAAGGCTATAAAAAGTATAATAAGTGTAAAGGCATGTAAATAGTAATAATTTTTTTTTTATAGTACTACTAGAAATTAAGTAAGTTATAGCTTTTATAGCTATTAATAATAAAAAGCTAATAAGCACTTATAACCTTTTTTTATATACTTATTAAAGTGCTTTAACTACTGTAGCTTAAGCTTATTTATTATTTAGCTATTTTTAAAGACTATAATAACCTAGTTCTAAAGTAGATTCTTTTTTTATACTAGGCAAAAAAATAATAGCAGCTTTTAAAAATAATAAAAAGTAAAATAGCTTACCTTATTATATTAATACTTTAAATAACTATTATTTACTTTTTATTACTTTACTATATTACTTTTAGCTATTTTTATTTTTTTAAAGCTATAATAACTACTTTAGTTAATATCTAGCCTATTATAAAGCTTAACTTATTAAAGTTATATGTGTCTTTATCTTAGATACTATACTTAGCTTTTATATTAGCTACTAAGTAAAACTAGCCTTAGATAACCTTTAAATCTTTATAAAGCACTTTTTTATAATTATACTTATAATTAAACTTTATTATAAACTTAAGGTAGTGCTTAACTTATATACTAGGCTATTTTAAGCTAACTTAGCCTAGATTATGCTTTATGTGTAAGAAATTAGCTATATTAGCTATAGCTATAAGCTTAAAAGGAAATCTATGTGTAATAAGCTTAAGTATATACTTAACAACTACTTTTTTTTAAAGCTTAGTTAGATTTCTTAATTTAGGCTAGTATTCTGCTTATAAAGGCTGTTTAGCGTGTTAATTACTTAGTGTTATGTAAAAAACATTATAAATAGCTATAGCATGTTATAAGAAAAGTTTTAAGTTTTTTTTAAAAGCCTAAAAAGTAAGCTATATTTAATGTTCTTTAGAAGATTTAATCTAGTGTTGTTGTTAAGGCATTATATAGATAAGTAGAGTTTAGTAGAGGCTTAGCAAAAGTAGCCAGCTAACCTGTGTGGCCGGCCAACCTGTTAGGTACGTTACTTATTATTTTAATGTTTTTTATTAGATAAAAATAAAACCTTATAACATTTACTAATTATTAGAATTATTTTAACGTACCTAACAGGTTGGCCGGCCACTTTTGCCAAGCCCCCACTAAAACCACCCTATTCTAGCGCAAAACAGCCCACTTTAGCCCTATATAAAGTAATACAACACAAGATATTATTTAGAGTCTACTTCTGCTACTTTCTTATACATATATAAGCTATGCCTAGTCTAATTACACTGCCTGTATTACCTTTAACTTAGCTTACCTTCTTTAGCGCGCACTTATGTCTTTAGCTTCTTTCTATTACTACACGCTCTAAACTCCTTTAAAGCAGTTAAACAAGCTCTATCCTTAACTATTAAAGTCTTTTCTGCCTAAATCTGCTTTTTTTTTATATAATTTATATTATATAGTAGCATTATTTACTGCTTAAAGCTTTATAATCTTCTTTTATGCTAACACTAGCTTATGCGCAATAATTACTACCCCTTTTAAAACTTTTTTAAAGGCCTTTACTATAAACATTAGTAAGCTATTTACATGCTTTTAAATTTTTACTTTTATAAGTATTAATTATAACTTAAAATTTAAGAGTATTACTTAAGGTTTACAACTGCTAAAGCTTATTATTAATAAGTAGTAGTAGTAATAAAGTACATAACTAGATG